AACTTGCCTTTAAAAAAGAAAAAAGGAATGAAGTATTGATAAATCCCACACAACATGAACAGACTTTGAACACATTATTTTAAGAAGCCGGTCACAATAAAAACCCTTAAGCTGTATGATTCCAACTATGAAATATATGGAATAAGAAAATCTATAAAGACAAAATGTAGATTAGTGGAGTGTCTAGAGCTGGGAAAGAGGGTTGGGGGAAATGTGGGGAAAACTGCAAAGGAGTACGGGTTTTATTTTGGGGTTGATAAAAATGTACTAAACTTAAGATTGTGATGGAGAGTTTCACAATTGTGTGAATATACTAAAATCCATTTAATTTTTTACTATAAATAGGTCAACTGTACGGTATGTGAATTGTATACAAAAAAGATGTTAAAAATTTTTCTTGTGAAGAACGCTATTAAAGAGCTCAGAGGATAGGGTGGTAGAAGTAAAGGTGAAGCTTTGGAAAACTTTAGGTATTGATTAACCATGCTTTTAACTGCTCATTAGTACAGTTAAACAGTGAACCATATATACCTTATCAAGCCCCTTGAATTTCTGTATTTCTTTTCCTGACATTAAGAGTAGGATAAAGATTACAAAATGTGGGATTTCTGAATCATTTTGAGCCATCTTACCAGTGAGTAGCTCTATCCATGTCTGGACAGTTTCCGTGGGTTCAGTGGCTTTGATGTGTTTGAGAGTTTCATCCAGTAAAACATCACCCGTTGGGCTGTCTGACTTCAGTAGTACCTTTTAGGAAGAAGAAACAAGGGACCCTGGTTCATTCACTTCATTTAAATTAAAATCTTTCAATATACCATATATACATTATTGGTTAAGTGTTGTAGAAAATGCAAAGCAGCATAGGATACTGTCCCTGTTCTCAGAGTTGACAGATCTAGTATAAGGTGATAGAGGGGAGACAAAATAACATTTGAAGTGGGCCCTAGTGGCAAACCCCATATAAATGATAATGGAGAAAAGATTCCATAACAACTCTTCAAGTCTGGAAAACCTACACGTAAAACAATTAATAAAGGTATGAAAATCAGGAAAAGAAGCCAGTTTTGGGGAAGAGGTTTTAAAGGTTTTAAGTGATATGGGATGGCCAAGGTGAAATGCATAGCCAATAGTTAAATATGTTTCTGGGGTTGGAAAAAGAAGATGGTCCTAAGATTTAGTAGTTAGTATTATGGAGTTAACAGATGAAGCTGTGAAGGATAAAAGTTATGCAAAGGGATACAAATTGAGACATAGATGTTAAGGAATGAAGAAGTAAAAGAACTAGGGTAGGCCAAGAATGAAGAAAGTATTAAGTAGGAGAAGGTGGTCAAAAGTGTCAAATGCCACATATAGGTTAAAAGAAAAATAAATACTGAAAAGCTGGTGATGCCTAAGAATCTGGTTTTAGTGCTAAGTGTGCTAAGCATGACAGGGTAGTTGTGAGCAGAAAAAAAAGAGTAAGAAGGAGACAGGAGTATGGCTCACATACTGGAGAGGACTTGCAGTAAATGGAAGGTGAGAAATTGAACGGTTTATCTGAGGATGACCAGAGTTCAGCAAAGACTGCACCTGACCCATATGTTTGCATCCTCCTATATATTCTATTTCATGTTATTGCTATAGCTATAGAGGGAGAAATAATCAACAGCATCCTAAATGTGACTTTCCTACATAAAAAAGACAAAAACATGAACTTCTTGTAACTCTTTAGACTATGGATCCTTGGAATTCTCCCTCTGATATAGAATTAAATCTATTAGACAATGGGATAGCTGAGTCAGTGATAGTTATCTCATCTCACTTTCAAATCTATTTATTTCTCAAAAACGGACCACTGGCATCTGCCCTTTCATAACCTCAGAGGATGTTCACAGAGAATGCTGCACCTTTCTGTCTAGTAGTCGCTTCTTACGCATGGTGGGAGGTTCCAGATAGATTCGACCCCGCATGGCCAGCTCTATCAGGATGCCCCCTCGCAGGCCAGATGATATGCAGTCATTCCAGAAAGATGTGTAACCCTATAAAAAGGGAAAAGAGAAAGAATGCTCTCAAAGGGATATGGACTTGCAGCAAGCACCCTAAGAATGGTACACTTTGTTGTGATTTGTTTCACATCATATTACATGAACGCAAAGTATAGAATAAAAGAGCTCTTTAATTCCCTTAATCTACCACCCCATCAATATGATTTTCTGCCTGGCTCTAAGTTCTTTATTTGGCTGTTAGTTAATAATCGGCATGTCAAATTTTTTAAACTTTATTTTTATTGTTGACACTTTTACAGATGTCCCAATTTCCCCTCTCCTTTGTCTACCTCCACCTAGCCCCAACCCTCTTTCCTCTGGCCATCACCACACTGTTCTCTGTGTCTATGGGTTATGTATACATGTTCTTTGGCTAACCCCTTCATCATCTTTCGCCCAGTCCTGCCATGTCAAATTTTAATTTTTGAGAAGAATTTTGTTTTTTTTTTTTAAGATTTTATTTATTTTTAGACAAAAGGAGAAAGGGAGAGAAACATCAATGTGTGGTTGCCTCTTGTGTGCCCCCCACTGGGGACCTGGCCTGCAACCCAAGCATGTGCCCTGACTGGGACTAGAACCAGTGACCCTTTGGTTCCCAGGCCGGCGCTCAATCTACTGAGCCACATTAGCCAGGGTGAATTTTGGTTTCTTTAAAATCTATTTCCATGGCTCTCTAAATTTCAGAGTAAGATACAAATGAGTCAAATAGAAAAATGTACAAACCATTTGAGGCTTTTACTCTTCCAAGATATGTATAAATAATACAAGCTATTTTGATGGGTGGTGTAGTTGAAACCCAGCTCCACCACCGACAAGTTAAGTGCCTTGGGTATGTGACTTAACCCTTCTCAAGTGCAATGTTCTCATCTGTAAAATGAGGACACTAACATTTATCTTTGTAAGTTTGCTGTGAAGAGCAAGTGAGATGTTATATACAAGAAAGCATTTATTACAGGACCTGGCATACAGTAGGCACTTAAATGTTAGCTTCCCTTCTCTAGGTGCTATTGAAGATACAAAGACATGTAAGAAATAACCACTATCTTGAAGAGCTGAAAATCTAGCTGGAAAGACCATGCAAACTTCAGGGAAGTTCTGTGATAATATAAAATTTAAATAAAAGCTCAGCTGTAAAAGCACTGGAAGAGACAGGCATAAATGGATCTTGTAAGTTTGGTTTAGAATGCAGTGTCCAACCTTTCGGCATCTTGGGGCCACACTGGAAGAAGAGTTGTCTCGGGCCACACATTAAATTCACAAACACTAACAGGAACTGATGAGCAAAAAAAGGTTTTAAGTAATTTTATAATTTTGTGTTGGGCTGCATTCATAACCATCCGGGGCCACATGTTGGATGTCCGTACATGATAGTCTCCCAAATTATAAGACACCCTTGGGCTAGCGTGGCCAGGAACTCTTATGGGGTCTGAGCTGGGGTTTTAAAAATAGGTTGGATTTGGCAGACAGGGAGGGTTTTCTTGGAAAAGAAAATTCCACCTATTCTTCAGAGGGCAGTTTGAATTAAAGTGTTCTGAAAGGAGACTTTAAATATCTTTGGAGATGTAATTCAAGGATTAAAGAGAAATCATGAGATAAATTGGTTGGAGCAAGTTGGTTGGAAAGCCTTGATGCTTTGAACTTTTTACTGAAAGACAGTATTGTATCTTGAGGGTTCTGAGCAAGGAGTTATAAATAACACATTGAACACTCACCAGAGCTGTTCAACATGCTTTAGTTACCTTTGGCTGTAGAGTTCCTCTCACTGGAGAGAAACTGGGTAAGATGTTGGCAGGGATGGTCTAGCACAGCTTTAAAGCAACCCCAAAACTAAATCACTAATAACAGCAGTAAAGAAATTTTTATTAAACATTTTAAAATTCTATTTTTCCTCTTTATTGCTTTGGAAATTACACATTCACTTTTCTTTAGGAAAATTATTCTTGACATTTTAACATGCATGACAATTAATTTAAAATTAACACAAGGTCTATTTTTTTAAATGAATTAGTTTATTAACCACTCTCCTACTTGACCAATATTTTATCTTTTTTTAACCTCACAAATTAGACATGGTTAACAGCATCATTACTTTACACAGGTAGCACTTGTTTAGATTTACTTAGATGCTTACCAATTTCCTTGCTCACCATTGCTGCTTGTATCTCAGACCTCCTTTCTGGTACCATTTTCCTTATTCCTAAAGTAGAATTTCCTTAAGTGAAAGTCTGTTGGAGGCAAACTCTAATTTGTTTATCTGAAATGTCTTTATTTTACCATTGTTCTTGAAAGGTAGTTTTTCTGGACATAAAATTCTAGCTTGATAGTTTTCTCTATCACATTAAAGATATGTCCTCCTCTTTTAGCTTCCATTGTGCAAGTGAGAAGTCTATCACTCTTTTTTTTCTTTTTTACATACTGAATTAAAATTTGTTTTAAAAGGTAAAGTTTTATATATCCTTTTAAAAAATGAGCCCTGGCTGGTGTGGCTCAGTGGATTGGGTGGCTCAGTGGATTGAGTTCAGTTTGATTCCCAGTGCAGGGCACATGCCTGGGTTGCAGGCCAGGTCTCCCGTAAGGGGCATGTGAGATGCAACCACACATTGATGTTTCTCTCCCTCTCTTTCTCTCTCCCTTCCCCTCTCTAAAAATAAATAAATAAATAAAATATTTTAAGAAAGAATTAAGCAAAGTCCATTAATGCAGCTAATTAAGAATTAAGGGATTATTTTTAAAAAATGAAAATTCAAAAATTGTAGAATTGATCAATGAGTCTTCAACTTTATAAAGCTATTTAGAACAGTAATTAAAGTACTGGTAACATTTTACCCTTTTAAAAATGTCATAGAATTCACATCACAACTTGGATCGTTGATGATTCAAGTTTCTCATCTTATACAATAAAAGTTTGGTAAGTTTCAAGGTAAAATTCCTCTGGATATGCCATCCCCAAGGCTTCTACTCTCACTGTCCATCAGCTCACACAGTGGGATAGCTGGCTGTGGTGGCGATTCCACAGTGATTGCTCTGGTCTCTGGCCATTTTTATGTAGTCATTCATGCCCCATTCTGAACCCCAGCTGTTCTTGACAATACAAAATGTATTGTTGTTTGATTTTCCTCCTTCAGAGTCATAGCCAACCACCAGAACACCATGATCCAGGTCTTTGCTGCTGCAGTTTGGTTCATAGTATATGTCTTCATTATAGAACTGGAACAATGAATAGCCTGCATCAATAGCAACAGAGATGGGCCCCACAGTCACCACTGCCTTCATAAGGGCCCTCTCATGCCGAGGGATATCCGCAAAGCCAGTGTCGTTGACAGCAGAATACTGACGTCTATAGTTACAGGTATTTGATTCCCTTCCAAGGTATGGGTAGGATTCCTGTGAGTCCAGGCCTTTGCTGTCCTTGACATACTGGAATGCATTATCCATTAAGCCACCATTGCAGCCCTGATTGCCTTGAGAGTGAGAGCAGTCCACCAGGTTCTGCTCACTCAACAAAACAAGTTTGTCAGTTTTCCGGAACATCTGTTCTTCAAGGGCACCATTTGCACTGAAAGCCCAACAAGAACCACTGACCATGATTCTTCACAGGAGTTACATACCCTTTCTGTCTCCAATCCACAGATGAGGGCATCTCAGCAAAGAGAGGTTCTAGGCATACTTTCCCCTTCCTGTGCTTCTTCTGGTTTAGAAAGCCATTCATCACCTGCCTGAATTCTACGTTGGGCATGTCACCAAAGGCATTCATTGCCATGGTGAAGCCATGTTTCCTTTGGCTGCGTTCCCAGTCACGCAGTTCAATCATTTTCATATCCTCCTTCATCCATGCCATACAGTCTCCTGTTGCCTTCTACTGGTACCACGGTGCGTCCAGGCTGTGATCAAGTTTTGGAGAAGCAGAGGCTATTCCCAAGCAAAGGGTAGCCAGGAGAAGTAAAGGTTTCATGTTTCAAAAACCTGTGATGGCCACACCTGCACAGCGGCACTCCATGGAGGCACGAAACCCCTCGATGGTCGACGAGGCCACAGCTCTGAGAAGTCTATTATTCTTATTGCTTATGTTCTTTGCGGGTGATTTGCCTTTTTTCTTCGGTCCTGTAAGATCTCCTCTCTTGGTGTCTGCAGTTTGACTACAACATGACTGTGTGTGAATTTACTTACCTTATTTGGGATATGCTTTCTATATAGGTTTTCTTAGTTCTTAAAAATTCTTAGTTCTTGCCTCTAAGAATTTTTGCTTTCCTCTATTTTTTTTATTTTTTCCTTCTGGGACTTCAATCTTTCTTATTTTAGCCCCCCTCCCCTCCATCTCTTTTAACCTCTCTTTTGTATTTTCCATTTTCTTTGTCTCTATATTGCTTTTTGAAGAGTCATTTCATATCTGGCTTGCAATTTACTCTTGTCATCTAAATCTGATATGTTAAACTAACCCTGAGATTTTGATTTCAACTATTTTTTATTTCTAAAAGTCCATATAGTTATTTTCCACATTTGTCCGGTCATTTATGATCATTTCTTTTTGTTGTAAATTTTACTTTTATTTCTTTACAAAATGTCACAGATATTTTATATTGTCTGATCTGAGGTCCTTGAATGCCTATTCTTTGTTATTTCTCCTGATTCTTTCTCGTGGGTATTTGATTCTTTGTATGCCTGATATTTGATTAAGAGGTTCATATTTAGTTTTTCATGAATCTGCGAGATTGTGGAGACCTAAATTGAGGATGTCTCCCTCCAGAGGGGAAGATCTGCATTTGCTTCTGCTGAGTCAGGTTTGAGAGGTTTGGGGGAATGCCGTACAACTGGGACCACATTTATACCTAGGTTTCTGCTTTTATCTCAACCCCAAAGTTTATTCCTGACCACCAAATTCCTGAACCTCTGGATTGAGTTTGTTTATTGCTCACCTCTACTATTTTAATTTTGGTGTTTGTTTGGTGGCCCAGAAGATTTCCTTTACTTTCCAAGGGCCCGAAGATACATTAAAAGTTAAATTTATTCAAGACTTAACATGCAACCAGAATATGGCCAGAGGTAGGGGTTTTCCAATTCCATTTTCCCCCTAGACAGGAAAATCTTTAAGCCCAAATCTAATTATATAACTCCCTTCCTCTCTGCTTAAAAATCTTTCAAATGCTCCTCTCACAGTCAAGGCCAAATTCCTTAGTATAGCACTCAAACCAGGAGACTACTTAATATTCTCTGTGTGGCCTCTTTCCCCTAGAAGACTATGCTCTAGCTTTCCAAAACTTAAGTACTCTTAACACATCATTTTTACCTACTGGCCTTGGCACACAAAGTTCTTTCTGTCTAGAAGAACCAATACTCTTCTTTCCCCAACTCCTCCTCGTTCTTAAGGATTGAGTATAGAGCTCACATCCTCCATTGTAACCTCATCTAACATCTTCTTCCCCTCCACTCTCTGGGTTAGGTATCTCACCTTGGTGGGCCTATGTGTATACACTTCTTTATCATTTATCGTATCACATTGCAATCAATTGTTTGCCCTCAGTAGACTATAAATTCCTTAAGGAGAGAGTATCTGACTGATACATAGTATTTTTCATTAAATATTTCTTGAAAGCATAAATTTATGATTGAAATATATCAACTTGGTAAAAGATCAGTGTGAACCATGAACATACCTACACATATCCAAATTCCAAGGGCCTAGATTTTAGTCAAAACTGGGATTACTTCCCTCCACTGCCTGACTCATGGCTACTTCAAGAGTTATATTTGTAACTCCTCTTTAAGGACAATGTAAGTTTTTTGTTTGTTTGTTTGTTTTTAGATTAATACCTGGTTTTATATAACTTAGCTGCCTAATTATGGTTAAACTATAACTTATATCACAATATATACTTTACTTAGGCATACCTTTTATATAATCCTGTTGACTATAAATTTCAACAGGTGTGCAAACATTTCAGCCAGTATTAAGGCAATTAGAAGGGAGTTTTCCAATTTCTTCCTATCTATATAGTTCCTGTTTCAATGACAGTGACATCAGATTGTCAACAGGACTATGAGAAACATTGTAAATGAAGAAACAATGGAGATCAGGATGTAGAAACTGTGTTTTTTTAATATTACCCTTTCCCATCAGTAGCTCATAATATGCAAAACTTTTCAAAGGAGTTTTTAAACTTTATTGTCATATACCATCATGGAAAAAAATATAAAAGTACACATGTTGAGTTTTTAAAAATAATTATAATTCTAAGGTCCATTTCCCTCCAAATATATCTAGCTGCCTCAGTGAATTCTCAAACAATCTATAATGAAGATTCTGTGTTAAAGGGCCAATGCTTTAATGTGCAGGATGATCTAGCCTATGCATCCCAAAGTTCACCATTCAATCATTAAATTTAATTACTTCATATACATGAGGGGAAAGAGGAGGAGAAAAATTTTAGGATCTACTAAAACAAAAGGAATCAATGGGAGAACACATTTAGGATCTACTAAAATAAAAAGAAACAATGTGAGAAACAATTGTCTCATGAATAACAGAATCTTGGAGGACTGGCAGAATAAGATCTTTGGATAGTGGATTTTGTTTTGTCTTGATTATAAAAGTAATATATGATTGTACAAAAAAGAAAAAAAGGATATTATAGAAATATATAAATTAGAAAGTAAATGTGTCCTATAATTTTATCCCTTCCAAATAGTTTAGTGGGTGTTTTCTATATTTCATATTCATATTCTTTTATTAATTTTATAAAAATGAAATCATACCAAGTGGCAACCTTTCACTTACCCATTATTTTGGATATCTTTCCACATCTGCAAATTCTGATCTATTTCATTCATTGTAATTGCTGCATAGCCATTTTTATTTATTTATTTATTGGTATACTTTATTATTACTTTTTGAAATTATATTTTATTGATTATGCTATTACATTGTCCCAACTTTTCCCACTTTGCCCACCTCCACCCAGCATCCCCCACTTCCTCAGGCAATCCTCACACCTTTGTTCATGACCATTGGTCATGCATATAAGTTCTTTGGCTACTCCATTTCCAGTACTGTGCTTTACCTCCCCATGGCTATTCTGTAGCTACTTGGACTTTTTAATCCCTTCAACTCTTCATCCATTCCTCTACACTCCCTTGCATCTGGCAATCATCAAAATGCTCTCTGTATCCATGATTCTGTCTCTGTTCTTCTTGTTTGCTAATTTTTTTAGATTCAAGTTGATAGATACGTATTTATTGCCATTTTATTGTTCACAGGTTTGATCTTTTTCTTAAATAAGTTCCCTTAACATTTCATATAATAGTGGTTTGGTGATAATGAACTCTTTTAGTTTTTTCCTGTCTGGAAAGCTCTTTATCTACCTTTCAATATATTTTGTGGTGTATAATGTGCACTTTTTTGCCCAAATTTTTGAGGTAAAAATAAGGATGTACATTATACATGGATATAATGATTACATACTATGGGTATACTGGGCATAATAATCCCGTGTATAATGTGCACAAAAACTTGGGTGTGCATTATATGTGGTAAAATGCAGTAAATGATAGGTTTGCTGGGTAGAGTGATCTTGGCTGTAGGTCCCTGCTTTTTATGATTGAATATTTCTTGCCAATCCCTTCTAGCCTGCAAAGTTTCTTCTGAGAAATCATCTGACAGTCTTATGGGAACTCCCCTGTTGGTAACTGCTTTTCTCTTGCTGCTTTTAAGGTTCTCTCTTTATCTTTAACATTTGGCATTTTAATTCTGATGTGTTTTGGAGTGGGCCTCTTTGCATCCATCTTGTTTGGGACTCTGTACTTCCTGGACTTGCATGTCTATTTCCTTCACCAAATTAGCAATGTTTTCTTTCATTATTTTTTCAAATAGATTTTCAATGTCTTGCTCTTCCCTTTCACTTTCTGGCACCCCTATGAATGTGACTGTTGGAACACTCGAAGTTGTCCCAGAGGCTACTTATGCTACCCTCATTTTTGGATTTTTTTTCTCTTGTTGTTCTAATTGGTGGTTTTTTTGTTTCCCTATGTTCCAAATCATTGATTTGATCCTCAGCTTCATCTACTCTACTGTTGTTTCCCTATAAATTGTTCTCTATTTCAATTAGTGTATCCTTCATTTCTGACTGGATCTTTTTTATGCTGCTGAGGTCCTCAGTTTCTTGAGCATCCTTATAACCAGTGTTTTGAACTCTGCATCTGATAGATTGCTTATCTCCACTGTTTGTTTAGTTCTTTTCTGGAGTTTTGATCTGTTCTTTCATTTGGGCCATGTTTATTTGTCTCCTCATTTTGACAGCCTCCCTGTGTTTGTTTCTATTTATTAGGTAGAGCTGCTTTGACTCGGTGTCTTGGTAGTATGGCCTAATGTGGTAGGTGTACTGGAGGGTCCAGTGGCACAGCATCCCCTATCACCCAGGATGGGTACTTGAGGTGCACCATCCGTGTGGCCAGAGTTGACCTTCCCCTTGTGGTTGAGCCTTGATTGCTATGGGCAGGTCAATGGGAGGGATTTACCCAGGCCAGTCAGCTGCAAGGACTGGCTGTGACCACTGACCACCATCTCTGTGGAAGATCAGTGGGGCAGGGTGGTGGTGCTCTGATGTGGTCTATAGCTGCCCACTGGGTGCACTGGCTCTGGAGTGTCCTGGGTGGTTAAGGCCAAAGGTCAGCGCCCACCTGTATTTTGCCTGAGGCCACACTGCATGAGCCACAAAGAAATCCCCAGATGGCTGCTACTTGTCCTGGGCTTGGAGGTTCCAGGTGAAGTAAAGCTGTGAGCCTAGGCTGGCTGTTGTTAGTGCTGGGTCTAGGGCCACTTAGCAGGAGGTACAGGGGTTGGGGGCTGGAGGCTGACTGAGGCCAGAGAGAATTTAGGAAGTTGTGAAGCATGAACCTA